ATGGTTAATAGATGAGATAAATAATAATTGACGATTATATAATAACAATCATAATATAATAATAGTATAAATCATGATGGTAATGATGATGATGATAATGATATGATATGAATGATGATGTGTATGATCTGATGATGATGATGCTGATGATGAATAATGATGCTATCAAATGCTAACAACTTAACAGCAATAACAACATGACAAATATACAATAATAATGATAAAAGAAAACATAAACCCGCATCCGCCTGTTTTGCTTGTCTGTCTGTCTGTTTATCCAATCTCCCCCCCCACCCCACCCCAACCCCAACGAGGCATCAAATCCCTCCCCCTCACGCCCACACCCCACACCCAACGAGGCATCCAATCACACCCCTCCCCCACCCCCACCCCCCCCTCCATCTCTTCCGGCTCATGTGATGGAGGTTTTGAAGCTGGCATCAAAGGCATACTTTTCGGCCCTCGGTGCTCGCTTCAAACCTTGCTTCGGTCGCCTCTCTCTTGCCTCTTGCCTCTCGCTTGCTTCGTCTTCGCTTTTGCTGTTCTTGCTCTTTCTTGTTTTTCTTTTTCTTTTTTTTTCGTTTTTTATTTTTTTGTGTGTGTTTTATCTTCTTTGTTCTCCTTTCTTTCTGCTCGTGTTCTTCATCCTTCTCCTTTTTTTTCTTTTGCTATTCCTCATCATGTGTTCGTCTTCCACTTCTCCTCTAGCTCTTCTCTCCCTCTTCCTCTCCCTCCTTCTTCCTTCTTCTCTCCTCTTTTTTCTTCTCCTCTTCCCCCCTCCTCCCTCATTCCTCTCCCCTCCTTCCTCCCTCTCCTCCTCTCCTCCTCCTCGCCACTCCTCCTATCCTTTTCCTCCCCTCCTCTTCCTTCCTCTCCTCTCCTCCCCTTCCTCTTCTCCCTCCTCTCCTCCTTCCCCCTCCCTTCCCCTTCTCTTCCTTCCTCCTCTCCTCCTCTTCCTCCTCCTCTTCTCCTTCCCTCCTCTCTCCTTCCCCTCCTTCCTCCTTCCTCCTTCTCCTCCTCCTCCCTCCTCTCTCTCTCCCTCTCCTTCCCCATCTCCTCTTCCCTTCCCTCCTCTCCTTCCCCATCCCTCCTTCTCTTCCTCTCCCCTGACTGCAAGCTATTGTGTTCTTCTCTGAGATTTCTGGTTCGACGATCAGAGGCCGTGAGTCGGTAATAAACCTTGGAATTTCAATAAAAAAAGAAGAGGATCGTAAGGTGGGATCCAATCGGCTGTCGAAGAGGATGGGATTCCAGTCTTAAGCTTCTACTTGTATTTCAAGAGGATTTTGGGGGTTTCACGTTTCAACTTTTTTTTCGCTTTTTTTCTTTCTTTATTGGTTTTATTTTCTTTTATTCCTTTTATATGTCTATTGTTTGTATTGTTTTACCGCTAAAAGTGGGACACTTAATAAATTTTAGGATAGATATGCAAAGAAATTGAAAAAAATGTATAAAAAGTTCAAGAATACACGCGCACACACACACACGACACACACACAACACACACACACACAAACACACACACACACACACACACACACACACCACACACACAGAAGAAGGAGGAGAGAAGAGCAG